GAACCCCAACAATGGGCGCTTGTCGTCTGGAGTGCACGTGTCACGTAGCTCTCTACCTATTTATCACCCACGGATGTCGGATGCTGGTGTCGTTGGCTAATCTCCCGCGAAAAGCCCGCAGCCTAATTGAGAAGACCGTATATTGGCCAAGCGAAAACTCAGAGATCTTCTCCTAATTAGAGAAGGTCTGGATCCAGAGAGACGAGAGGAAAAAGGAGCAGCAGTTTATCGATTCTTTCTCTGATCTCAGTTTCTGACGAGCTTTGGATTTTATCAGTGATTGCAAAGGTCTACTAGCCTTTTGCTGGTTGCTGACACCGCAATGCCCCGACTCAGGAGGCTCTATCAAGTTTGGAAGGGAAACAATGTAAGGGCTCTCAGCCATTCCCCCCTTAATCGTGCAATCTATGTTTGTTTGCTTTTTGTGATTTTTAGGGAGGAATTTGTTCGCTTTACAACAAATCTATATTGTTTTTAGTTGAGTATTTGACATATAAAGGCTGACCGGAATTTGCGGATGAGTTTTGCCTCCAAATTCATTTAGGGCATGGAAGAAATGATCGACGGATCCTTTTTCTTTTCTTAGTCCTATGCAATTCCTACTTTATCCGTAACCTTTGATGAGTACATTGATTGGATGGGTTACAAAGTTTTCTTTTTTATACTGTTATTTGTCATTAATTTGTGAATTTTGCATATATATAGTTGGTAGTGTTACTCTACAGTGACCTTGTTGCATTGAAGTTATCATATTGCTACTGGTTATGCTGCTGGTGTTTGGATTAACACTTAATTCGTCGATGAGTACGCATGTATCTTTGTCTGTTCTCAGAGGTTCTGGTGTGGTGGGAGGCTAATATTTGGTCCGGATGGTGCTTCACTATCTCTATCAATGCTTCTCATTGCTGGTCCATCGATTGCGTTTTGTTCTCAAGTGCTTGCCAAAATTCTTAACCATGAGATGACCGACGACGATAACCAAAATCGAATACTTGGATCTCCAGTGCTGATCGTGACGGCACTTCTCACTGTAGCAGTAAGTGATACATCACGAGAAATCAGCATGTTAATTTCCATCAAAGCACACTGTTAATTTCCAAGTGACATCCTTATTATGATGATGATGATGCAGGATTTGGCTTTTCTGTTGTTGACTTCTAGTAGAGATCCAGGCATAGTCCCAAGAAATGCTCGACCCCCGGATTCTGATGAAGCATTTGATGTCACCACTCCTTCCATGGAGTGGGTGAGTGCAGCAACTCCACACTTACAGCTGCCCCGTACAAAGGATGTCAATGTTGATGGATTTACCGTAAGAGTCAAGTTCTGTGATACATGCTTGCTTTATCGCCCACCCCGGGCTTCCCATTGCTCGATCTGCAATAATTGTGTTCAGAAGTTCGATCACCACTGTCCATGGGTTGATCAGTGCATCGGAGTAGTAAGCAACCTACAAAATTCATGCTTGATTCTCCCTTCTGAACAAAGTGCAGAGCTTTTGTTATCACTATTTTTTGTTTGTAATTTGACCAACTCCTATTGATGTCTGCAGCGCAACTATCGGTTCTTCTTCTTGTTTATATCATCATCAACCTTTCTTTGCATATATGTCTTCACCTTCTCATGGTTAAACATTCTTATAGAAGGAAAACGATACCACAATTCTGTCTGGAAGTCCATGAGAAGCGAGGTCTTATCACTTGTTCTCATTGTGTACACTTTCATAGCCATTTGGTTTGTCGGTGGGCTGACAGCATTCCATGTCTACTTAATCAGCACAAATCAGGTAGCATTATGTAATATTTGGCGGTCATCATTACTTGTTGGATCCATCATGTTGTGTGTAAATAGATCTGCGTTCATGAATGATTAATCCATCAGCAATCACTGGCATTTCATTGGCTTCTTAAGAATTTAAATTCTGGTTAAATATATGATTCTGTTCGTCTTGTTGTCTGATTAGCTATAACTTCAGCATCACTATATACGGATTGCATGTTTTCCAGTTCTTTAACTTTTAGTTTGATTTTACTTGTTTATGCTTCCACAGACGACATACGAGAACTTCCGGTACTGTTATGATAAGAAGGAGAATCCATATAACAAGGGCTTATTGAAAAATTTTAAAGATGTTTTCTTCTCAAAGATTCCTCCTTCATTGAATGATTTCCGGTCATGGGTGCTTGAAGATTCACCGGAAGCTAGTTCTATTTCTTGGAATAGCGGGATAAATATCGTTGGCTCAAAGGAGAAAATTGACTTGGAAATGGGCAATATGACCGAGTTAAGCAGCAATATGCAGATTACGAATACAATGCAGGACTTGGATTGCACTGCCATTGATGATAATGTTCAGGAAAAAGGAAGGCATGAAGATGTTGCCTCTTATCCATTTGCTTTTCCTGTTGTTCAAGAACCTACAGAACAAGCATCCACATGCAACAACCAAACCTGCATAAGAGCAGATGGAATGATTATGGATGAAATGTCTGATGAGGAGAGCTGCTTAAACGACATTTCAACTCATGTCGATGATGATGGCCATCTCCTAGAGACGTAAGGTAAGACTTCTTTCCTATAGCAGAATAACGTCACGACCATCAACTCCTTTATGGTAATGGCATACCCATCTGCAATATCATCCTTTGACTATTGATATCTTTAATTTTGATTTGGTGTCTGCTATGAACCAGAACCTAAAATCAAATAGAGGGTAGGCACAGGCAACTTCTTTCCTTAAGTACAAGTTCAATTGTGGATTGAAAACATAGCGAAACACAGCGATGAGCTTTGTGTCCTCTCTTCTTTACCATTTAGAAGCTGGTGTTATCATCATAAAGAATACCAGTTTGAAACTGGACACGAAGCTCTTGCAAGGCTTAAGACAAGCAAGGCTTTTAAAACTTATATTGGTTGTCACCAGTGTATATATTGTTAGTCTTCTGTATGATTAAGAAATAGCTGATTAAAGAAGACTATTAATCTACTCAATGCCCGTGTATAACCGGCAATCAGGAGCTTTATCAGATTCGAATAGTCATCTTCTAAGTTGCATGCCATTTAACTGATTTATTCAGACGGTGCTATACAAGCTCTTTATAAATCACTGAAATGAAATTTTAGCTTCTTTCCCCTTCTTCTGTTCAATGGTATACAAGAGATGTTCTATCAATGTTCTATGATTGAAATGGCTGGAATGCATATATATATATATATATATATATATATATATATATATATATATATATAGGAAAAAAAATGATAACAGTCAAATTCATGAAAGTATCATATGGTGAAAGATTTTGTCAGAGAAGATTTATGACTAAAATAGCTTCTTCCTGATGAAAAATAAGATACAAGGATAAGAGAAAAAAGAACAAGTATTCATGTTTAGGAGGAGAGAGAACTCCGTAGCTGGTGCAACATTAGCCATGGATAAATGTTTAGTCTTCTCTGTTTGTCATGCCTTCACCTCTTGCAAACTAATATAAAAATAGCAGACTGGCACTTCTGTGCTTCATTCTCTCCGATTCATCTGTTTTTGTTGACGAGGCTACTTTCTGCGAAATGATATTTGTACCATTGCACATGATTTTTGCAGGTTTTACTTGACAAAATCTTTCAATACACTAGGAATGAGCATCGTACATAAAACAGAGTTGCTTGCCGCGCCTTTCTCCAAGGAGAAATGTTCATCAGCCTGCCACATTTTTGCCATGGTTGATCACCTTGCAGCCGTTGTTACATGTTGCAATAAAGAAAGCAGAAACAATCAATCAGGTTGCACCATACTAGTGATCCATGGAACTATTAGGGTAGTTCTGGAGGAATTTTGTTTGTAATTTTCTTCTAATACTTTTTTTTTTTCTTTTTTGGTTCATTTTCATGTACAGCTTGTGCATAAGTTGGGACTTTTGTTCTTTGTGCAAGAGCATTACTAACTAGATTTGCATAACCTTGTTGTTACATTTTGCTGGAAGAGAGGCTGAACAATGATAAGAGATGGGTGCAGATTCAAGAACTACTTATCAGATTTGCATAACCTTTTCGTTACATTTTGCTGGAAGAGAGGCTGAACAATGACAAGAGATCGATGCTGCTTCAAGAACTTCCTCAGGAAGTCTCAGCTGCAACAAGGAGAATCGAAGAGGCTGAACAGTGATAAGAGATTCATGAAGCTTCAGGAATTTCCTCAAAAAGTTGAGCTGCAACAAGGACAAGAAAACATTCTCTTTTCTCTATGTTGGTGGTTGGATGTTGAGTTCATAGGTGCTTCAGGAAAAACACATACAGACCTCTGAATCGAGTTACAGAAGGGCTCAACTCCTGCATCAGAGTCAAACTTGACCTACATCCATATACGATCCAAACAAAGCTTCCAGCAGTGACACCATTCAGCATCAGAGTTCAATATAGATCGAGTCATTTTCTTCTCATTCAGCAGTGACACTTGAAGGCTTTTTTGATATCAATTAAAATCTTATATGCATCTCACTCTATTTTTAGCCTAATTAATATTTATGGAGTGATGTTACACCGTACACTTGTATTCGGTTCTCTGTGTCGAGTGTAATATGGCTGGCTGGTGATAGAAGATGGTATATATAGTAAATAGATTGGTAAATCCACTCGAAACCCTTTTGATTCGATTAGGAGATCAGATGTGTCAAAACAATCGGCCGACACCGATCGATTTGGTCGATTTTTAAATGAAATTGAAGGATAATAAATAAGAGATGTTTTTTTCTCACTCAGCACGTGCTTGTGCTTGAAATGACACGTGTTCCTCAACTCACAGATAAAAGAGAATTATTTATTATTTATATTTTTGTAAAATACGTCCGGCCCAATGGCCATAGGAGGTTTGGGCGTGGTTGCGCCCCAGTTAAGGTTTTAGGGCCCGACCTCCCGTCACGGGGGCGATCAATTTGGTCGAACTCGATGGCTCGTCTTTCTCTCTTTCGCTCTCTCCTCCCGCTCTTGTGGTTCTTCTCTGTAACCCTTCCGTATAAAGCTCCAGATACTTTTACCAGACCAAGCCTTAGTTGCAAACCATGGGTTCCGGTAAGCGATCTTGCGGTTTCTTTCTATTTCCTTTTGATGTTTTTGGGATTTGTCATCGTTGTAGATCTTTATTGGCAGCTGCGTCTCAGGGTTGTTTTGGTCGAGTCTTTTTATATCTTCGTTTCCGGATTGGATTTAGACCTCCTATTTCATGAATGGTTGTCAAAGAATGAGTGTGTTATACTGACTTTGTTGTTGTTTTTGTTTTTGTTTTTTTATTTTGGCATGTTGTCCTGAAAATGTTGTCATTTTTGGTCTGTTAGATGCTGATATGGAGGACTACGGGTTCGAGTACTCCGACGAGGAGCCTGAGGAGCAGGATGTTGACATCGAGAACCAATACTACAACTCTAAAGGTGATCACCCTATTGTCACGACCTTAGC